ATGTGATTTTTCTCTATTAATTTGTGAATCTAACAGGTTGCATTGATTTTCAATATTCAACCAGGCTTGCCTTCCAGCAATAAACCCCATTTGGTCAGAGTGCATAATAGTTATTATATATTGCTGAATTGTATTTGCTAATATTTTGTTAAGTGTTTCTCTGTTCATAAGGGGTATTGGTCTGCATTTCTTTTGTTGTTTGCCATTTTCTTTTTTGTATTTTGTTCCCTCTGATTTTTGTTTCTGTTTTTTCTTGCCTTCCAATGGATTATTTGAACATTTTTTTAAGAATTGCATTTTGATTCATCTGTAATGCTTTTTGAGTGTATTTCTTTGCAAAGATGTGTGTGTGTGTGTGTGTGTGTGTGTGGCTGTTCTAATATATATGCACAACTTATCACATCCTACTGGTGTTTACATTTTACTGGAGTGGTGTGTAGAAACCTTACATACTTTAAGTTCCTTTCCCTTTCCCTGTTTCTAATGTAATTTTCTTACATATTTCTTCCATATATGTCAAAAGCACATCAAACAATGTACCCTTTTGCTTCAAACACCAAATATAATTTAGAAAGTTCAAGAGGAAAAGGGAAGTCTATTGTATTTACCCATATTTTTGCTTATTATATTCTTTATTCCTTCTCAGTATTTCAGGTTCCTTCTTCTTCTTCTTTTTTTGTTTATTTTTGTTTCCAGAACTTTCTTTAGTCATCTTTTAAGTCTGCTGGTAACAAATCCTCTTAGTTTTCTTTTGTCTGAGAATGTCTTTATTTCTCATTCATTTCTGAGACATAATTTACCATATTTAGAATTCAGAGTTGACATTCTTGTATTTCAACAATTAAAAATATTGTTCCATTTTCTTCTGGCCTCCAAGGTTTCTGATCAGAAATCTACTGTCATTCAAATTGTTTTCCCTCTTTAAGTAAGGTGTTGTTTTTCTCTTGCTCCTTGCAAGACCATTTGTCTTTAGTTTTTAGTTTGATTCTGGTAAGTCTTGGTACAGATTTCTTTGTGTATTTCTTGTTTGGGGATTTATGTAGTTTTTTTGAATCAGGCTTAGCTTACACATTTTACAAATATGGGAATTTTTCAGTCTCTATTTCTTCAAATACTTTTTCCATTTTAGCTTCTTTTTCTTCTTCTGAGACTACAATGACATGAATCAGATCTTTTGTTATAATCCCTCAAGCCTCTAAAACCTTGCTTATTTTATTTTGTTTGTTTTTTGTTTATTTTTTCTATTATATTTTTTTTCTATTTTATTTTTTTCTATTTTACTTTCTTATTTTATTTTTTTAGCCTATTTTATGTGTTTTCAAACTGGGTGATTTCTGTGATTCTATTTTCAAGTTAATTGAATTGTTCCTCTGTTTTCTGTATTCTGTACTTGAGCTTATCCATTTGCTTTTTAAATTTCAGTTCTTTTTCAGTTCTAAAATTCCATTAGGTACTTTCTTGTGTCTTCTGTTTCTTGTTCTAGAACTGGAAAGCCCAGCAATATATTTTTGTACTGTTACCGAGGGAAGAATATTTTATTATCTTAATTCTGTTCTTTGAAGCTATACAAAATAAGAATATTAATTGATAAATATTATTATCTAAATACTAATAGTCCTAGTAGTTTAGGACTATTTCATATATGATTTACATTGATTACTGCTTGTTTATTTATTTAATTTTTTTAATGTATATTTTTGAGAGAGAGTGAGCAAGCAGGGGAGGAGCAGAGAGAGAGGGAGACAGAGAATCTGAAGCAGGCTCCAGGCTCTGAGCTGTCAGCACAGAGCCCAACATGGGGCTCGAACCAACGAACTGTGAGAGCATGACCTGAGCCAAAGTCCAACGCTTAAGCGCCTGAGCCACCCAGGCACTCCTTGATTACTGTATTTAATTCTTAAATAGTACTAATTTTTACTCCTTCAACAAATGTTTACTGAGCCTATCATATGACACTTTTTTCTTTTCTTTTTTTTTTTTTTTTTTGCCAATCAAATATTTTTGCTTCGGTTTCAAATGGTTAAGCAGCTTGTATACTTTATTTACTAAGGAAAGAACTTCATTTGTGTTTTTTGGCGGGTTGCAGGCCTTGAGAGAAAGAGACATTGTGAGCTGGGTTCTCACACCTTCACATAAACCAGACAAGAATTTTCATTTATGGTTTCCACACTTTATTTAACCCAGTTTGGAGATCTATCAGTGCTTTGTGTCAAGCAGTATTGTATTTTGAAAGGGTTTTCTGGAAAAGAAATACTTTCAGCTCTTTGGGTAGCCATAAAATTATAATTGTTGATTTGTGCCATGGGAAAGATTGGGAAGGCCTTCTCTATTTCATAGATTAAAGAGCATTTTTCCCCTACGAAGTGAATTTTGTGTATATTAGATAGCACAATTTTATCATCCTTCACAAATAAACTTCTTAAGAAAATTATCTCCAGTGGTTCTCATACATTATTGAGATCATCATCACCTGGTGGGTTATTAAGAAACAGATTCCTACACCTTATCTACAGAATTCCTGATTAATTAAGTCTTGATTGGTGCCCAAGAATTTGCATTTGTTAACAAGTTCCTAGATGATGTTGATAATGCTGTTTAGAGGATTTCACTCTGGGAACTATTCGTCTACACAATTTTTCTACTGCCTCGTCTCCCTTTGATTCTTTAGTTACTTCACCAGATTTTAATTTTCATCATTCTACCCAAAGTGCTTTCTCTAACATCCTTCCCGATCTTCATGTCGCCAAATCAAATGCACACTTTTCCGTTCCTTATCGACTGTATAGAAACCATTCACCATAGTTGCTTTCTCCTCCTGCTGAGGAAACTGTCTCCTATTTGGTTTGCAGAACTTCATGTCCCTCCCTCCTTTTCTTTCTTGCATGCTCTTTCTCAGCTTCTCTTTCTCTCAAATCAAACTCTAAATGTTAGAATTCAGTCGGGATCCTCTTTATACCTTACTTTCCATTCTGTTCCTAAATGATCTACTTACTCCAATCTGTGTACTAGTAATCATGTACTAATTATGTACATAATTTATGTCTGCAGCTCAGACCCTTCTCTGTTACAACTTAACAAATTGAATTTTTATATGCTCACTTGAATGATTTATGGGTATTTTGAATAATATATCCAAAATCAATTATCATAATAAATTCCAAGATGTATATTTTTACCATTTTAATATCTATGAATTCTATAGTCAATGACATTTTAGATTCTGTGAAATAGAGTAATTCCTTCCTACCCCTTTCTAATAAAAAATGCTTTTTCTCCAGTTTTTTCCATTTCGTAGTCTTTCCTTCCATTCAGTTATTATTGCCAGAAACCTGGGAGTTATCCTTGACTCATTAGTGTTTCTTAATTTTTTTTTTTTACGTAATCTCTACACCCAACATGGGGCTCCAACTCATGCCCCCAACATCCAAAGTGTCATGCTCCACTGACTAAGCCAGCCAGGTGCCTCTCTTCAGTCTTTCTGAATACTCTTATATCTAAATCCGAAACATCTCTCAGTTCCCTCTTCCCCTACCTTATCCATTGCCATCACCTTTGTTTAAGCCGTAATTACCTGCCCAATGGAATATTGCAAATGCCTATTAACTCTTGGTGTCTTTCAACCCAATCTGGAGTTAGTACTTACATTTATCTTTTTAAAATGTAAATCAGTTCATGTCACCATCTTGCTCAAAATCCTTCAGTGAATGGCAGTCATAATCTGTAATAAGCATGAAAAGCCCTCTCTAAGCTGGTTTGTGCTGCCTCACCTCACTTAGCATCTTTTTGGTTCAGACACACTGGAGTTCCAAGTTGTTTCTTCCTAGCATGCTCTTTCTTCCACTTTCCATCTGCCTGTCCCCCTACTTGTCCTTGAGGCCACATATTTCATTTCTCGTTTTAAACATCCCTTCTTCCGAGGTGTTTGCTGAGCCCAAAATCTAAATTAGATCCTATTATACTCTTTCATGGTGTGTTGAGAGTTTTGTCCTTTGCACGTATTATACTCTCCTGTATGACACTCATGATTTATTTATTGTGTTTATCTCCACTCTGTTCTATGTCTCATTGTTTTACTCCTTATGCTAGAGCTTAGCACAATACATAGCAAATGGAAGGTGTTTAGTAAATATTTTTAAGTAAGAGAAAGTACATCTAGGGCTTAAAAAGATATATGTGCACATATAGACTAAAAATACCTTTTTTTTTTCAAATGTAAGGCAAATGAGAAGCACCTACATTTGGGAAATGGAAAACCTTTCTTAGTTGCCAGTTACATAAGTTGTGTGACAAAATTATTTTAGAAGAAAATTTACTTTTTATGAGTGCAATTTCTGCAAAAAAGTTGAAAAGTTATTTCAAAGTAATTTTAAATTATTCATGATATTTAAGTAAAGATTTATTTTATTTTTCCTAATAGAAATTGAGTGACTCTGTTTTGTCATTTTCTTACAAAACTAATCTTTTGTGTAACCAATTCTTCTTTTTTTAAGCCACCCAAAGTTTTTTAGGAGGTTTCAACATTATAAAGAATATCATACTACATTCCAGAACAACATTTAATTACTTGGCTTTTTGTTGTAGTGGTTATTGGCAAACCACTGTCTAATTTTTAAAATGTTCCTTAATCTTTGCTCATGTCTATAGGCCAGCATGGAAAAAAAAAAATAGCCTGAGTAACAGACACAGTGGATAGTTTTTTTCTTTTTTGGAATATATAATTTTTTTCATTTCTATTCCTGTTTATTATTATTAGCCTTTTCTCTTCTTGCAGAACTTTGGCCCTGTAGGATCCATCTAGAGTACATAAACTTTATATTCTGCATTCTATAAATTTTACTCATTTGGAATCTTAGCTTTCTTTTGGTATATATAGTGAGTGCTGCAGACAAAGTTCTTGAAACCAGAGAGGATCACACAGTTAACAATGTTTATAATGTCTTTGTCTGTCCTTTCTTTCGCTGTCTCCTTTACTGCACTCTTTGTCTGTCTGACTCTCACAGGAGACATGGATTACAACTGGTTGGACCATACGTCTTGGCATAGCAGTGAGGCATCCCCAATGTCTTTGGTGAGACATGTGGAGCCTTACTATTTAATTTTCGTTTTTCATTTCACTTTTCCTTTTTGATTTACACCTTTGCATGTTTTCTTTTTTTGTATCTTTTTTTTTTTTCTTTTTATCCCACACCTGTAGGGGACAGTCAAAAGGGAAAAAGAAAAACTAGTGAGCAGGCAGTTTTGTCGGACTCTAACACCAGGTCTGAGAGACAAAAGAAAATGATGTACTTTGGTGGCCACTCTTTGGAAGAGGATTTGGAATGGTCTGAGCCTCAGATTAAGGACTCTGGGGTAGATACCTGTAGTAGCACAACCCTTAACGAGGAGCATAGCCATAGTGATAAGGTACTGAGATTGTGGAGCCTGCCTTTTAACCTGCTCATTTGGTCTTCGTTTGCTCTCTGTCACTCATTCAAACAGAACATAATAAAAGGACAGGGCATTTCAAGGGTCAATGTAGCATTTCTTAAGGTGCAGAAAAGAAAAACAAAACCAAAACAAACAAACAAACCAAAATACTTCTCACTTGTTTTGCTGTTTTTGTTGTTTGACGGCATACCAAAAAATAAGTAAATGAAATAAAAAATTAGGATCGAAGGAATGCTTTGTCTACGGTCGCATGAGAGAACTTTGTGATGTTTTTATAAACCACAAATATGAAGAATTTTTGGATTGGCTTATTTGATTGCTTGCATATGTTTTCCTTGGGATGAAAATTAAATTATTAATAGTTTCAATCCCAGGCAAAAGGGAGATAATTGGGTCTGTTTGCACAGAAAAAGTTGTTTTTCTTTTTTCCCTTTCACTGTCATTTTGCTCTTTTGTTTTATTGTCATAGCATTTTAATGTAGTATTAATTAGTACTAGAACCATTGCCATCTGCTTTGGTATTTATTATTTTTGCTTTTAGTGTAGTGAGACTTTTGAAATCTTTTTACCATATAGATGTGATTGATTGGAACTTGTCTTTTGCCTGCAAATTCTGCATGAAGATGTGCATGTTACTTTTAGATAACTGTGAAACTGTGATTACACAAATCATTCACTTTGTTATTTGACATATAATTCATAGTGGATGGTGTCATGATTCGTAAAGGGTTTGGTTCTTCCCTGACAAAGAGATAAACTCCTAACATTTTCAAGCTGCTTCACAGTGGATACCACTGAGGTAGCCAACAAAGTTAATTTACTAAATGGATCAAAGACCTGAAAGAATCAATGAACCTACAAAAACTGAGCACTATAAACTAGCCTCACCTTTGAATCTGGCCTGTTTTCTCTCATGCATATTCAACTGAAAAGTTACGGGGGCTTGTGTATCGTTACAGTTTTAACCTAGAAACCTGTTTCAAGGAAGCCCTCATCATAGGTTCAAATTTCATGTTTTAATATAACTTTAGCTTTTAACTTTAACTGTAATTAAGTCTTTCAGAGTCTTCCGAAAGCGTTTGAAGATTAAAATATCATTTCTAAATGAGTTTAGCTACATAGAATTTCAATCCATCTTTTTTGTCTTGTCCATTTGTAATTAATCTTCAGCGCGTGGATAGTTTGCATGTGTTTTCAACATTTCTCAGATTTTATAGAACGATATAACTGCAGTAATGTGTGAGGGCTCTGTTAGAATTTGAAATAATTGGATTTTGAAAAATCTTGACCTTACAAGCATAATGTAGTATGTGCTTTTGATCAATGTTTTGAATACAAACTGGTTTGTGTAATCATAACACTTTGATAATCAGGAGTTCAGAGAGATTGTACAACAAGGGGTCCTTTATCGAAAAAGAACATTAATTTCTTTGTTTGTTGATGCAATATGTCAGCACCCTGTGACGTGGCAGCCATCTAAAGATGGAGATCGTTTAATTGGTCGTATTTTGTTAAATAAGCGTCTAAAAGATGGAAGCGTACCTCGAGATTCAGGAGCAATGCTTGGCTTGAAGGTATGTGATGAAACATATGAGGTTTTGGCTCTCCACTCCTTTGTAGATTTATGAGAAAAGCAAAAGGTATAATAACTCTTTCCAACCTATACTTAGTGTTTTTCCCCAATTTTCAAGAATTCCCAAGCATTTGCACTCATTAACCAAAACTTGTGCATGTTCCAAGTAATATTTTTTATCCAGTCAACGTGGAATTTCCTGGTCGATACTAAAAATTTATTGTTAGACCCTCTTTTAGAAGAGTCTTCAAAATACATTCTTTGCTAATGAATTCCTTTTTCCTATTTTTTTAATGCCCTTTCTCTGCCTCTGGAAACTTTTCTTTTGTTGAGCTCAGTAGAGCTCTCCTCTGCTTGCTGGATGGGATGCTGCCCGATTCATGAATTGTTTAGTAAAGCCAATTAGATCCTCAAATTTACTTGGTTGAATTTTGTTTTTTAACAATTGGAATATAATTTTTGTGTAAGGGTAGCACAATGTGTGTGTGGGTTTGTGAGTATGCGTGTGTATGAGGAAGAGAATACCGTTTAAAGTCTGGAAACTCAAAAATACGTATGCTAAGAGTTTTAATAAAAATCTTGATATATATTCGACTATAAAATACCAGATAGTTATTTGGTAAGTAGATCAAATAGAGCTCTGTGGGGTTATTTGTGTGTGTGTGTGTGTGTGTGTGTGTGTGCGCGCGCGTGCACGTGCATCTGTATGACAAAAACTGAAATGAAAAAAAAAGAGTAAATGGTTGTTAGAGTTAAGCAGTTGCCACAGAAGTTGTCCCATAGAATACAGTGAATTATCAGAAAACTTTGGGTGTAAGTGGAATTGCCCAACTAACATTTATTGGGTGACTGCCATGGAGCTGACACTCATCTGAGTGTTTTACTTCTAATGTGTTATTTAACACACCAGATGAGAAACAGGCTTAGACAGGTGTCATAACTTGCCCACGGTCACAAAGATGATGATGAAGGTGGGATTTAAATCCAGATCTGTCCAACGGTGTTAGAACAGTGAAGAGTAGAGTTTAGGAAGTCTTGGCTTGATTCCTGGTTATAGCAGTTATTAGCAACATGACATTGGCCAGCTAACCTTCTCTTAGCCTCAGATTCCTCATCGGTAAAATGGAGATAATAATGCTTATTGAGTTGTTATCATAAGCTTAAATAAAGCACTACACAAGCATTTAGCACAGTGCCAGGCACACTGTACGATTTCAGCAATAATAATAGTGTAGGTGATTATTACTATTGAAGGTTATCAAGCCAAGGAAGTTTAAAAATGGTAACATAAGGATGTTGGCCCATAATACCTATACATTTCATTTTCAGAATGAAACATAGGAATCTTCAGTTAATATTAACTGAACTGCACCTGGGTGTGAATCATTGCAACTTGGGATTAAATACATGCAATAAGTCAGTGATTTTAAAATTCAGGTATCATTCACTCAATTTAGAGAAAAAAAATAACTAGTTAATGAAATTAATTACCACTGTTTGTTTAATATGCTATAAAGGTGATATAGTGATTGAATGGTAGTTGATCAGAAGCATTAATTTTTGTAAGAGGCCAGTCTTACAGGTACACATATGACTCCACAGCATTATTGCTGACATTTTTTTTCCTTTTTCTAACAGATATATGTAAATAACAACATAAAAGTAGAAAAAAAATTGGGATGCCAATGGTTTAAAGTTTACATGAATTCAAATGAGATTCAGTACACTTTGTAATTTTCTCAGAAAAAAATCCATCATCATTATATACATTACCAATGTGCCTAAAATATTACTAACTAATGAAATTTTAGTAGATTATCATAACTGTCATCAAAGTAACAAATATTTATATGATCATGATATTTGAAATCTACAACTAGAAATGTTAATATAGGGGCTCCTGGGTAGCTCAGTTGGTTTAGTGTCCAACTCTTGATATCGGCTCAGGTCATGATCTCATGGTTTATGAGACTGAGCCCCATGTCAGGCTCTTGACTGACAGTTTGGAGCCTGCTTTGGATTCTCTCCCTGACTCTCTGCACACCCCCCTCACACTGTCTCTCTCTCTTTCTCTCTCTGTCTCTCTCAAAATAAATAAACTTAAAAAAAAGGAAATGTTAATATAACTATATAGTACTGTAATAGAATGTTTTTAGAAATGATAAAAATTATTCTTTAAGACAGAAATTACAAATTATTCAATTTTTTCTAAGGTATGCAATATTTTTTACAAATAATAGATTAAATTGTGAAAATTTTAGAACATGTGAGAATAGTTCACATGTGTTTAGTTCCTAATAATAACAGTATATTATTTAAAAATTATTTTTAGAATATTATAGTTTTAAAAGCTACAAATTGTCTAGTTATTTTTTACTTGAATCTGCAACTATGTTCCTTTGAACAGTATGCCTGTTTTAAACACTTTCCTCTTTTAAACAGGTTGTAGGAGGAAAGATGACTGAATCAGGTCGGCTTTGTGCATTTATTACCAAAGTAAAAAAAGGAAGTTTAGCTGATACTGTAGGACATCTTAGACCAGGTAGGTTTCTATCTTTGATTTTTTATATTTAAACTGTTAAACTCAAGTAGTTATAAAAAAGTTATCCTCATTTGGAAGTGATTTGACCAAAAACAAAGGCTTCTTTAACTTAGATATTTAAACTTTATTCATTAATGGAAGTATAACTATTGTTTCTGGAGTCACATTAGATAAAAAGATTTTTATATTTACTGATATAATTTTTTTGCTGATGGATACTCTTATTGTGTATCTAGTATTATTTAGCTTCTTGTAAGCCTTAATTTTTCTTTTGAAAAAAATTCCAACAGTTTAGGAAACAAACTTCAGGGATAAATACATATTTCCTAAAATGTGTTACTCCTTATCTCTTTCGTAATGGATACTATTGGAGAGATCCTTGAATGCCTTAGAGAAGATGTGATAAGATGTTAAGCGTTAAGCTTTTTATAAGAAACTTTAGATAAGGTGCTTTGTTGCATATATATTGAAAACCTTAGAATATAATCATAAAGTTTTCAAAGAGGTAACAGAGTTTAATAGTTTCCACAATTAGATAGTTTCTGGAGTTAGACTCCTGTTAAGAAACCACAGAGATAGCTTTTATGTAATTTTATTCCTCAATCCCTTTGTCCTTTTGGGTAAAAATACTAATCATCTCATCATCAAATTTGATGCCAATGCGCAACGGTTGTCAGTAGGTCTTACTCCATAACGGTGATTGTATTCTATGGAGTTCATTACAGTTTAAGATTGCTTTTGTTTCAAGTGTATTTTATGGGATTAGTTTTTCTTTCTAAGATTATCATTACTGGAATGTACTATAGGTGATGAAGTATTAGAATGGAATGGAAGGTTCTTGCAAGGAGCCACATTTGAAGAAGTATATAACATCATTCTGGAGTCCAAACCTGAACCACAAGTGGAGCTTGTTGTTTCAAGACCTATTGGGTGAGTTGGTCTGTGCACTTTCTACATGTGCCTTATAAAATTGACTACCATTAAACAATCTGTAGTGTGCAAATTACCTGGTTGTTCCATAAAAATTATTGTTTTGAGGACAATGCTTCTTTTCATTTTTATTAAAACAGCGCACCAAAAATCATGACATCACTTTATCTTATCATGCTAGAATACACAGTTCATTAGAAAAGAAGAAGAAATATTTAGGTGTTTATTATTCTCATTGTCTTAGTGGCTTGACAGATGACCAAAGGCATGGTGGGAGAAGGAGACTTCAGTAACTGTTACTTTTATTTCTTTTTAAGAATTTTATTTAAAAAACTTTTTTTTCCATTTTTAAAAAATGTTTAATTTGAGAGAGAGAGAGGGGGAGAGAGAGCACAAGTGGGGGAGGAACAGAGAGAGAGAGAATCCCGAGCAGACTCCACACTGTCAGTGCAGAGCCCAGCACAGAGCTCCGTCTCATGAACTGTGAGATCACGACCTGAACCAAAATCAGGAGTCAGATGCTTGACCTACCGAGCCACCCAGCTGCTCCAGTAACAATTACTTTTAGAAGGAAAGTTTCATGAACTGTGGGCCTCTACATTGTGAAAATGAGGGTCCATGAATTTTCTGTATTTTTTCAAAATGGAGATTTCAACATAGGAAAGAGAGGGCCTAAGGGCACACTATTCCTAAACAGAAGGAACAGTGGAAGGAGCAAAATGACATCTTTAAGGAAACAGACCAAAAAAATAATCAAATACCAAAGTACTCCTTTTGTAATTTTTACTTATAGATGAAATTAATGGTTTCCAAAAGTTGGCAATAAATGTCATCCTTTGTGCTTATATTATGAAAATTACTCATTAAATATCAGCAGTGTTTCCTTTACAGAAGCTTATATTCTAAGCCAATGTAAAAGATATACTTGTAGCTAAATAAAAGCAATAAAAAATATATATACACTGACAGCAGCAAATTATTAAATACAAGCTGGGGTTAAGAGTATTCGAGGGTGGAGGCTATAGAAATTGTTTTTTGTTGTAGAGCACTAATGCTTTTCATTCATTTAGGAAATATTTGAAGTATATTATTTTGCACTCTTTTTATGTTGGGGAAAATGACTCTACATTGCTAATGTAGTTTTATTGAAAACTTTTTATTCAATTCAACTTTCTTTATTGAAAAAGTTTTATTCACTACTCACATTCAGAGTAGTGAATCTGGCACACGACATTGTATCTATTTTTCATTTTGTCTTTTCATAGTTTTGTAATATGATAAAACTGCAATGTATTAGCTTAGTGTATTAATCGAATCTATTTGTTGGTATTGAAGGATCTTCTAATCATATTTTTGTTTACTATCTTTAATATTCTTTTATGTACTTTTCTGAATGATCTTAACCTTTAAAATCTACCTCTCCTGGTAAATCTCAAACAAAAAAGTGCACATTTTTGGTGTAAGTGCAGTTACAATTTTTAAGTCCCAGTGAAAACCATGGCTGCATTTTTTCTCAATGGAGTTATTGCACTCCATTTCAGTAAAAATTTCAGTCACAATCTGAATCTTTAAATATTTCTTTTAGTTATATTTTATTTGCATTTCAATGTTACTGAATAAAGAATAGAATAGAATTCAAATATATTTATCATAAAACTTATCTTGAATTCAAAAATTTATTAGCATGGATAATCAGGTAGTGTAGCACATAGAAAATAAAGTATGTGTTTTTATAAATCTGCTCTAAGTGCATATGACTATTCCTTTTTAAATAATTGGGGTTAGCTCAGAATGTTTTTATTAGCAATAAAGTACCACAGCTTGTTTTTTCTTATTTATGTAATGCACAATTTTGTTCATTTTATACTCTGCTGTTATATGTCGGTTGATAATAGTCAAAACAGCAGTTGCATTAGTTGTTGAAACAATTTCTTGTTTTCTTATTCTATCATTTCAGAGATATCCCTAGAATACCTGATACCACACATGCGCAACTGGAGTCTAGTAAGTTTCATTTATATTAGAAGAAAATAATAATGTCATTCAAGTATTTAATCAATTAACACAAACTAAAAAATATAATAATCTTGTTATCAAATATATAGTCATATACAAATGAAAAAATTTAGCATTATTTCATGTTATTGTGAGATAAAGTACAAAATTCTATAATATTTTAAGAGTTTTTTTTAATCACACTATCTTAAATACTACGTATTTTTAGATAGCTTTATTAAGGTATACTGCCATAAATTGCACCTAAGTGCACAAGGAGGTAAGTGTTGACATACAGATGAAACCATCATCACAATAAAAATAATGAACATACCCATCTCTCCTAAAAGAGAGAGCCCTTTCTTCCTCCATTTCTTCTAATTTTAAAATTCACTACTTTTTTGGGGGGGGGGAGGTGCGGCGCACAGGTGAGTGAGGAGCAGAGAGAGAGCGAGAGAGAGAATGAATGCCACAAGGGGCGGAGAGAGAGAGAAGTGGAGCTCACCCAGGGTTCACGTTCACCCAAAGCAGGGCTCGAGCTCAGCTGAAGAGGGGCTCAAGCTGACGAACTGTGAGATCATGACCTGAGTCGAAGTCAGTCACTTAATGCCTGAGCCACCCAGGAGCCCTAAAATGTACTATTTTGTAAACTAACTCTCAGTAAGTGAGGGGAATATTTGGGGTAATCTAGTGAATAATATTCTAATTTATATTTTTAGAAATGGGATAGTAATTTCTGACTTAACATCAGGGTGGTGAAGGAACAAGAGACATATAAGTTTAAGTAATGTTAAATTCATAAACGCTTTTTATTACTTGTGTCTGAGTGCTATTTCAGATGTTAAACAAATGGATTTTTTCCAATGAACTGTTTCTTGATTGATTGAGAGTAGTGTAAGGGATATTGTAAAAGAAGAGAGGAATAGGCTTGCCATTTGAATAAGATGATCAGAATAGACCATACTGAGAAGGGAAGATTGGAGCAAAGATTTGAAAGAGTGGCTGGCTCTCTGGGGAAAATGCTTTTCAGGTATGGGGACTGGGTCATGCTATGGCTCTAAGGCAGGAGAGCCTAAGATGCATTTAGGAAAAAGAAGGAGGCCAGTGTTGCTGCACCAGAGTAAATGGGGGGGGAGGATGAAGGGTGAGGAGTAACGGCAGCCAAATTGCATAGACTTCATAAGCCTCCCTAAAGACGACTTTGTTCTGGGCTTTTGCTCTGAGGGCAATCAGTAGCTACATAAGTTGGTTTTGAGGAGAGATTTGTGTTTTAAAATCTGGCTACTATGTTGGAACTAGTTTAAATGAGTCAAGAGTGAAAGCAGAGAGGGCAGTGAAGGAACTATTTTAATCTTTAGTGTCTTATTTGGATACTTAGTCCATTGAAATCTTTAGTATCTTATTTGGTGACTTAGGCATTGGTGGTAGCAATGTAAGTGATGAGAAGTGATCGGATTCTACAATAATTAAGAATATACTATGAGTGCCACCTTGGTGGCTCAGTCGGTTAAGCGTCTGACTCTTGATTTTGGCTGAGGTGAGATCTCATGGTTCGTGAGACTGAGCCCCACATGGGGCTCTGCACTGACAGTGTGAAGCCTGCTTGGGATTCTCATTCTCCCTGTCTCTCTGCTATTGTTAGTTAAGTTTTGGGAGAGTCAAAAGTTATTGTGGATTTTTGACTGTGTAGGGGCTAGAGCCCCCAACCCAAGGGTCAACTGTATTAATATAATGGTAATTATTATATATATGATATCATTATCGTTATCATCACTGCTCCCATTTTACTGGATGCCCAGGATTGTGCTTGATGTTGTGTCTACATTATCACACTTATTTCTTACAAAAGTCCTATGAAATATGTACAGTTCTTATTCACTTATGTAACATCACTCAGGTATTGTATGAGCAGGGTGGAACCTTTTATCTTATTATAGCTATGTAAAAAGTCCCTAGTCTATAATTTTAAAATTGTTTCTGAGGAGATAGGGATCCTTTCTCAAATTAAATTAGAATCAATCCTTTATTCTTTAAATGTTGAAGAATAGGTTTCTCCAAGGCCCAATTATTAATCCTCTTAGTTCCTCAATAAATCCTTCTCTTCATAATAGTTTTAATTGCCATATGACTCTTAAATTTATATTATCAAAATGATCCATCATTATTCCTTTATCCTTGAATGTTTAAATAATATGTTAAGTGTCTTCCTCTTACTTGAAGCTTAACATTGTAGAAAACTGAGCTTACTTCTCACCATAAAGCCATCATTCTTTCCACTTCTAAATATTATATAAGGTATCACTGTTACTTCTGATGCCAAGACATAAAGTTTCCCCCTTTATTTTAGACTATACCCTTTTTAGGAGTGTGTTTTATCCACTCATGCCTCCAATTTGGCGGACACTTTACGGTTTGATTCCTAACACTAATATCTACTCGACATTTGGTCCCATCCCTACATCCAGTTACCTGCTTTACATCTCCCCTTGGATGTCTCAGAGGTATCGTGTTAGTTCTAATTAACTTCTCTACCCATTCCTTTTTTTTTTTTAATGTTTATTATCGAGAGACAGACAGACACAGAGCATGAGCAGGGGAGGGGCCGAGAGTTGGAGAGACACAGAATTGGAAGCAGGCTCCAGGCTCTGAGTTGTCAGCGCAGAGCCCGACGTGGGGTCGAACTCACAAACCGTGAGATCATGACCTGAGCTGAGGTCGGAGGCTTAACCGACTGAGCCACCCAGGCACCCCTCCACCCATTCCTTAAACACAGGACTTGTCCAGTGTTTTACATCCCAAGAAATATCAGCAGAGTCTTGTTCAGAGAACAAGACAGAGACATAAAGGATTTTCTTGATCTCCTGTCTAATTACAAGGCTTGAAATCTTCATGTTTTTCCCTTTATCTCTCATGTCTAATTCATTTCTGAGTCCTCTTTTGTTTATTTTGTGATATTGCTGAATTCTTTCTGCCCATTCCATCTTCACAACCTTTCCTATTATTATTTTACTGAATTCCACTTGTTTTGAGATGTTTTCCCTCTCTCTCAAATCAATTCACACTTCAAATAAGTGGTAAAGTCATCTTCTTCAAATCCAGTTAATGCCTCACTCAGAAGAGAATGAGGCAATAATGATTAATAGTCGATTAGTGCCAAAATGTGTAGCCCAGAACTCCAGGCACTTAATCCCCCCACTATTCCCTTAGCTCCATTTTTATTCACTTTCTGAATCGTTCCTTCCCCTCCATAGAAATAAATTCATATATATAACTTCTGAGTACCAAGGCTGTGCTTTCTCTGCTGTAATGTCTCTTGTTTCATAGACCCTCTCTTCTTTTCTGCCCATCTAATTTACTATATTCTTTTCCAGATATGGTTTTAAAGTGTCACTTCCTGGAAACACTTCATGATTAATATTCTAGTACTTATGTTTTTAGCATTACAAGTTTGCATCGCCTTCAAGTTGCTTTTTTGATTTAGGTTTTGATTTTTCCAGAGTTTCTATTTTTAGAAATTTCTTAATATGTTATGATAAGATACGAGTTTAGTATATACATAGCAAAGTAACTAAGTCCTGGCATAGAAGTCGGTCTTTACTATAACTGGCAGAGAAAATGTTTCACTCTTGGTCTTAAGAGAGTCGCTCAGCTGTACTTACACTTTCAAAACATAGCTGTAAGTTTATTTGGAATATTGTGGCTAAGAAAATGGTCTATATAATGATGTTTTGTGGACATTTTAAATAAATAAATACATAAATAATTTAAAAGATATGTGGTAAAGATTATTAAATGCTAATGAAGAGTCATCATTATTATTTCTTATGTATAATTGCCATTTCAGGTTCCAGCTCATTCGAATCTCAAAAAATGGATCGCCCTTCTATTTCCGTTACCTCTCCCATGAGTCCCGGCATGTTGAGGGATGTTCCACAGTACTTGTCTGGACAACTTTCAGTATGTAATCACTACATTAATTTCTCTTTTTGGAATACCAAGTATTGTTAACACTTTATGACGTTAGCATTTTGTAAACCAACTGCTTCTTAGACTATAATTTTGCTTTTAACCATCAACTTTCTCATTCTTAGTAATTTCAGTTAATTGAAATTTAAATTACTTAGCATAGTATTTCTTTATTAGAGTTTATTAGGTTTTCTGGAATTTGCAGTCAAATGCTCTACCACTGAGCTATACCCCCTAGGTTTTCTGGAATTTAACGAGAAAATTTGTGATGCTATCTAAAATCTTTTTTACCTTAGTAATTTTATTCTAAAATTCAAGGTTATGATTTTTGCTCACTGTCTTAAAATGACTATAACTTGTCCTAGACTTTTAAGAGAAATAAAATTGATGTGTTGTACAAAGATGGTATATTTAAGATGAAAGTAAATTTTATACATTCCCTACTTTTTGAGTTTAAGGAAATTTGAATGTCATAGTAAAGCATTGGGGTATGAATATTGCTCTCAATGGTACTTGAGATGCTTTGGTCAACAGACAAAACTAAATAGATGGTAAAATATTTAATAGATAACTGAGTATACTGTGTGACTACATAGTAAGTGATCCCTAATTTGAACATTTTATAATAAAAATGAAAAATTCAATAAGGCATTATCTGTCCATATTAGAAGAGCCTTGCAAACTTGAGCCTTCAATTATTATGAATTTCTTCAGTTGTCATTCTCTTTTTAAACTATTTAAAATATTAAAATATTGAAATTCATGTTGTTATAGTTTAGAAACATAATGTTGATGAATTAGTAAACTTGCATAAACTTGCAATTTTATCACTATTAAGAACTATTTAGGTTATCAAAATTCAGATACTGAATTTTGGATAAAAAATGTTACAATTAAAAAATAAACTATTTTTGGGCTGGTGTTTTAAGAGCAATAGAAAAAGCTTCTTGTTTAATCAGCTTTGAATTTTCTCTTTTTGGGGGAGGGGAAGGGAGGTGTTTGATTTTTTTGGTGAAGAATTTTTATTAATTAAAAGATATAGGAAGTATAAGCAGAATTAACAGATTTAAATTATTGAAATAGTTCTTAGACATGTCTGTTCTGGGACTATTTTGATCACAAAGGTGGCAATGACAGAAAAGTTACACAAGAAAGAAGTTGAGATACTTACCAGGAACTTGTAAATGTCTTACAAAAATGAATTTCTTCTCTTTATTATTTTTGTGTACTTTCTCTCATAAACAGAGTGAACCTTTTCATTTGAAGACAGTGGTCTTTTTTTTTTTCAGTTTCCATCATAAGTAGCATCTTTCAACTTAGTCTTTTACATATGTTGACAGCACAGATGTTGTCATTTGTAGTTACAAATATATGTGTACTTTCACCATTTTAGAAAGTGCTAATAGACATTAACCATTTCTTTTTAATTATTATGGATTCAGTGAAATAGTCCATCTTTAAATAATGCATAGTATGACTGGATGATGCCAGTACATAAATAAATGTGTGTGTGTGTGTGTGTGTGTGTGTGTGTGTGTGTGTGTGTGTAGTTGGCTTCAGTTGGTGGAAGAGGGAGCGGAAGTTAGACTTCATAGTAAGTAAGTATTGCTTTGTTACTGACTTTGAAATCCCAGGGCATATGGAAGTGGGGGGAAGATTAAGGAGTGTAGTGCAGGCATTTAGACAAATTTCAAATTCAGCTATTTTTCATCATGGTTCAAAATGAATATAGTAGAAAGGTAAGACTTAAATATTTTAGGGAAACATAAACTTAAAAGTTATACTTCTAAATATATAATTAATGATTTCAAGTCATAATATTTACATTTATAAATGATGTTAGTTTCAAATCCATGTAATTATAATTTAAAATGTGTACATTTTATCATTTTCTTATGACTTGGAAGGGATATGGTCCAGTAAGATGGTGTTAATAAATACTATACATATTTATTGTGGAAAATCTAGAGTGCAGATAAATACATAAAAAATAAAATCACGTATAACCTGCCACTAAAGTGTAACATTCACATACATATAAATGTTTAAACAAAAGTAATAAATCTGTGTATAATATTTTGAAATCTGCTTTTTTACTGAGTAATATATTGTGCACATTTTTCTTTAAAACTTTTTTCTTTCAAAATTTCTCTTAAAATTATTTTAATAGCTAATATACCATTTTAACTTAATTCTCTATAATGGGACATCTTGCTTGTTCTTAATTTATATTACTATAAACAATGATACCATGGAAATCCTTCAGTATAACTCTTACGTATTCTGTTAGGTCGAACAAAACATTCTTTTGTCAGGATAACTTTTCAGAAGTAAAATTACAGGAAGAGAAGGAAAGAGAAAAAGATTTGAGATTCTTGAAATCTGTTGCCACATTTTCCTCAAAAATGTTTGTATTAAATTAATCTTCAATCATTGACTCAAGAAATATATGTTAAGCTCTGGCCCTGGGTCAACCTTAATCCCAGTTGCTGGGAATATAACCGTGAACAATCCGATAGACACAGATTTCATCTTCATGAAACTTAATTTTATTTTCATTCTTTGCATGCAGGAAACATAAGCAAGATATCCTTCTGGATATAGTGTTTCCCTTTATATTTAACCCTATTCCTGCCAACTGGAGACCATTTTGGTTTTCTCTAATGATGTAGAGTTTAGGTGTTATATATCAACTTTTGGGAAAATTCCTAGGAAGTCGCAAGGCACCTTACAATCCCTATATCCTTCTATTTATTTTACCTTTGGACATTTTTATTCTGGTGAGTTTTTACCTATGCCCATAGCTCACAATTTTATGGCATTGCTAATTCTGGAGAACAAAGAAAATTTGTATGGTATATAAGCTGACCTCCTAATGTATCAGGTCAGTTCGTGGACTGATATTTTCTCAAGTAGAAATATACATATAATTTAAATTGTTGTTTAAACTTTCATTTCAAGACTGTTGATATTTTTAAAACTTTATGCAGTTTATTTCCTCTCTATGCTTGAATTCTGCTGTTGCTGGTTATTATTCTAGGGCATAAGTATGAAAGTGCCATAAATGTATTTGGTGAGAAAATCATTTTGAGTTCAGGTTTATGACACCTGGACTGTATGTTAGCCTTGGCTGTGTCAAAACTCTCTTCTTTTGATTCTTTTTAAAACTTATGTTCTTCACAGTTTAATAGTTTGCTTCTTTAGGGGATTACTTTTGTAGTTCTTTCAATTCTTTAAAATTAATAATTTAAATGATTAAATCAACCATTTAAAGTTAAATTAAAAATCAATAATTTAAATTAGTTGGCTACTTTTTGAAACAGTGTTAAGATAAAATATAGCCTTTGACTCTTTTTAAAAGTGAGAAGCTTAAAATTCTTTCTTTCTATAAGAACACATTGATTCTTACTGATAATAATTTTATTTTACTTCTGGGTCTGTGGTTGCTTTATGTCTACAATGTTTCCCTAAGTTACTTTGTTTTAATATTTTTCTGACTCCATTTTTAGTGATGGGTTTGTAAATATTGTCCATATCCATTTTGTATGCCCATTTAAATGGAGTAAGTAACTGAAGAATAGGTATGTATCTTTCAATATCCTTAGAAACTCTACAGCCTTTTAAAAACTTCCTGTAAATGCTGGGGCGCCTGGGTGGCTCAGTCGGTTAAGCGTCCGACTTCAGCTCAGGTCACGATCTCACGGTCCGTGAGTTCGAGCCCCGCGTCGGGCTCTGGGCTGACGGCTCGGAGCCTGGAGCCTGCTTCCGATTCTGTGTCTCCCTCTCTCTCTGCCCCTCCCCCGTTCATGCTCTGTCTCTCTCTGTCCCAAAAATAAATAAACGTTAAAAAAAAAAAAATACTATTAAAAAAAAAAAAAACTTCCTGTAAATGAAGGTTTATTCCCTTGAGCTTTTATGTTTTATACCTCATCATCACAACCTTGTTATTCCAGAAGCATTGCATAAAAGGAATGCCCTAAAGATAGTGCAGTGTATGATGCAAAGTGACATTAAAAATGCAAAGGGGCACCTAGGTGGCTCAGTCGGTTAAGTGTCCCACTTCGACTCAGGTCATGATCTTGCGGTTCATGAGTTTGAGCCCCGCATCTGTGCTGACAGCTCAGAGCCTGGAGCCTTCTTTGGATTCTGTGTCTCCCTCTCTCTCTGCCCCTCCCCCACTCACGCTGTCTGTCTCTCTCTCTCTCTCTCTCTCTCGGGAATAAACAAACATGAAAAAAATGCAAAATAGTGTACAAATTCAATTCTTCATTTGTATGAGGCTGAGTTGTCACAGGTTTCATCAGATATTTCCTGTAAAATAAATGAATCAATATGAATCGCAAATTGCAATGCAATACGTAAGAGTTCACCATTCATGTATGAAATATCCAGAATCTATTGAGACAGAAGGCAACTTAGTAGTTGCCAGGAGTTGGGGCATTAGAGGAATGGGAGTTGATTACATTACTTCATAGGTACAAACAGGTACATAGGGTATTCTGGGGTGATGACAAATTTTCAAACTATAAGAAAGTGGTAGTTACATAGTATTGTGAATGTACTAAATGCCATTAAATTGTATACCTTAGGATGGTTACTTTTATTATATGTGAATTTCATCTCAATTAAAAACACTAGCAAAACAGAAATATGTTTTTTCCAGCCAAGTTTAATGTGTAAACTTATAGGTAAAGATTAAGTTTAAATTGCCCTAGATTGTAGACAACTGATTTCAGAAACCTGTGAATTGCTTACTTGAGATCATATTAGGAGATGGAAATTGTTTGCCGTAAAGGATGAATTTATTTTGAAGTGCTGTTCATTTCAAATTAAGCTTTTTTAGTTTATGAAGTAAAACTTACCTGCGCAAATCTTCCATTACCTGTTGCTTTGGGTCTAAAACAGGTAGAACAGGTGAGAGGAGAAGGAAAATAAAATCTACTTCCAAATAGAGTATATTGTTAGTTCCTTTGTTCAGCTGGCCTTGTTAATCTCTATGCGTTTCATCCATCCTTGGCCCATTTGTTAGAGAAGTATTCACCTAGGATCATGCAGACAGATATCAGTAACATACTCCATATCTAAAGATTTCTTTCTTCCTTTGGAAATGTCTCCACACAAAAGGAAGAGTGCTTAGATTTGAGACTGCCTTGGTTTTTGGAGAGAGAGAAAGATGACTCATGATTGATGTCTGCTTTTAAGATCTGCTTTCCTTTGGGTTTTAGATTTATGTCTTAAATAGTGTCTATCTGGTGACAATCAAATTAGGCAACAGTCCTCCTAGTACTTATTATCTGTTTCCTTATAGCAATGGAAAGGTCTGGAGCCTTTATTGATAACTCTTTGAATTAGACAGGAGAATGGGAAATGTGAGGAATGGAATGGAATCTTAGGGAAGGAAGAAGAATTGAATGCCTTGAAATCCCTTCCCAAACCCTGATATATGCTTCTGATTTTGTTCCTATTTAGTTGTTAGCATGCCTTACTAAAGGCACAAAATTCTGATTATTGTGATGTCTTTTGGTAACTGTTTCCAAATGAAAACAGGATAAGCCAAAAGAGAAAGAAAATTTGATTTTATTATAAGAATTTGAAACAATGATTTAATCAGAACTGGGCTTTTTTTCCCTCCTCTCCTTCCCTTCCCTTCCCTTCCCTTCCCTTCCCTTCCCTTCCCTTCCCTTCCCTTCCTTGTTTTCTTTTTTAGAACCAGGCTTTATTTTTTTTTACCTTTACACTATCTTACTTTTTGTTTGAGTATGGGCAAGTATATCCAGCCTTTCTCTATGTCTCCTTATTTCAAATTGGAGATAATAGCACCTACCTTCTAGTTTTGTTGGAGACAATGAACTTGCAATAACCTGCCAGTAGAGGCTTGGAAAAATATAAAGAATTGTATAAATAAAAAGAATTGAGGTATTATCATTAATAAGTGTGATTAGCAATAAACAGTATTACCTTGTATAGTATGTAATAAATGTTTAAAAATGGTGTTTAAATACTAGAACCTGGTATAAATTCTTAAGGTGTGAATCAACTAGTTAGTACAGTGTGTTCCACATGCTTTTATCTTACTGTGTTTATTCTTTTAAGAAATGCTGGAGCCAACTTGGCTAATGTTTTTAAAATTTTTGTTAGATGTGTTTTAGAGAAGTCACACGATTACTTCTACAGATGACTTTTCACTAATAATAATTCTATGGTGCATTTTTATGTAACTTCTTGGACTGATTTTTTTCTATGTAGAGCGTTTAAGGGTAAAACCTGAAATTTCTTGACTCCTGGATTATGTTTACACTCATTCTTTCAGAATATACAAGCCCAAAAATGTTATTTTACATTTGCTCTTAATTCCTATTGTGTTGATTACATTTAAACATCTGATTTTGTATAGTTTTTATATATCTTAGCATTTTGGCAAAATTAACTTGTTACATTGAAGTCCTTAATTCAGATATGTATTGTTATGGAAAAATAATATTTAAGGGATAGTTTTATGTGTTTGTTTTTACTTTTGGTCTTTTAGTCCCAGCGTGTTGTCCTTTTTGGTTTTGTTTTATTGCTTTTTTCTTTAATTTTGCTTACCAGAGCCAAAGCCTTAGTAGAAGAACAACGCCTTTTGTTCCTAGGGTTCAGGTAAAGGCCCTGTCTGCCTGATAGAAACGAAAGTTGTGTTTTAACCCTTATTTGTATGTTTTTGGAAAATGCGTAGTAGGAAACTTGTTTTGGTATGTTGCTCCAAACCATATTATTGACTTTCAAATCATTTTATAAGCCAGCTTGTAAAATTTCTGCATGGAGATGAAAATACAATTAAAATTTAAAGAGACAATCTCTGTTAGTGATTTTATATGATCCACTGAATGCTAAAACTTGATAGGTTTCAGACTGCACTTGTGTATAGAATATTGACAAAACTAGCTAATTTTATACTGCTGATATTTTTTTTTTATTGCACTAAGTTTTCTGTCTCTTTAAATCATTCATTTTATCACTTAACATCTTTCTCTTGCATTTTCCAAGCAACAAATCCTTGAGGAGATTGGCAAATAAATTTGTACCTTATCTAAAATATGAATTTTATCCATTTAATATATAAGGTTCAAGTTTGAAAAGTGTGTTATTGTGAAAGAACAAAATAAATAAAATGTGTTGGGTTTATGTTGTTCACATTTTGTAATTGAAATGGGATTTAATTTTACTGTAACACTTGGTACAAGTTGTTTGCCTCTTTTCATTAGGAAACCCTTACATGGTAAAATAATGACAATATAGTTGTTTTTTTTAAGTAGTATTATGCTTTCCTTGCTTTGCTGCATGTTTTTTTTGTTGTTATTGGTTTTGAATAATACTAATTTAGTTTAAATTTGAAAAATTACAGTTGTTCTACTTAATATTATATAGTGTTAAATATTTACTTGTGCTGTTCAGGTTCTCCTTAGGACATTTAAAAATGGGTACATGGTAAAGCTGGAATGATTATTATATGCAAACAATTAAAAAGATGCTCCAAGATTTTTATTAATGAGATAGAGGTAAAATCAGAAGTATGTCATCTAGAACTGTGGAAATCCACTTACTATATTTTGGGGGAATCAACAGATATATTTTCACCTATCATTTGAAAAGCACAGATAAGAAATTTAGGAATGTGATAAAATAATCTAGCTAATAAAATAATTGTTTTGCTAATGTGAACTGGATATCTATTAAAAACTTCAATGCAAGTCCTGTAATATAAAATGAAAATTAGGGCTATCGATCAAACGCCTAGTTTAAAACAGTTTATTAAAAGTTGTAATTTTGACTAAAAAACCCATAAAATTAAAATGTACAATATAACATTTATATATCTGGAAAGTATAATTTTATAAATTTTATAAAATGTATATATGGAGGCCATATGCCTAGTATCTGCTTGTATGAAAAATGAATATTACAAATGATAATTTTAGTTTTCTGTGGCATAGGAAAATCTAAAAAGAATACTGCTTATCAAGCATTTGAAGTTATGTATCTCAAATGTTCGTCTCTAATGAGTTTAGAGGAGCAAAAATATCACCTGTGAAGATGGCAAATGCTTAGTCTCATCCGTCAGAAACAATTTACAGAAATCAGTAACTTGCTCCAATAATTATGAGCTTAGTCTAATAATTATTATTATTGTTTCTTTGTTTCTAAATGTACAGTTTACCAGAAAAAGGTTTTCTTTCTTTTTTTTTTTTT